CCCGCCGGGACCCCCGTCCTGCAGCCCGCCCACCGAAGTGTGGGCTCCCGAAACCCTTGAACAAAATGGCGAAACCTAATATGGCCGTTGCGGAGTGATTGACGCCCAAATAACATTGCTCCCTCTTTTTCTCTCTCTGTCTGTCCCTCTGGCTCTCTTTGTGTTTGCTTCTTCCTCGTCCCCTCCCCCGTGCAGACCGAGTGTGTCAGCAGCCGGGACTTTCTCTCTGGGTTCCCTTCCAAAACGCAGCCACCGCCGTCACCAACCTCTACAAAGGTAAAGATAACCTTGCTGCATTGCCGCCACGGCAGGGCCGCCTGCGGCAGGGAGAGCCCTGCTTCGAGTGTCCGACCTCCCGCACCTGGACAGACGCCGACTTGGCTGCCTCGAAGTCCGGCCGGCCCGAACGCCTTGCCGCGGGAGAATTCCGAGGGTTCTAGCCACAGGACTCAGTCAGCTGGGGCCATTTGACCCGCTCACCCCTCGGCAGGCACATCGGGGCGTTTGTGAACGTTGATCACTGCGAGGGGGCTGCTCAGGCATCTTGCTGTCTCCTCCCTAGCCTGTCCCCCGCCCCCCATGCCAGGTTTGGAAGCCCTGAGCTGGAGATGGGTGAGAGGGCTTCTCCCTGGGGAGCGACCCAGGGGGGACAAGAGGTGATGTTTTGGGGCACTGAGAGTGGGCAGACCCTCCAATACCTCATGGGGAGGGTTGGGAGGGTGGTGATTTCACATTTTAAGTGCCTTGAAAACTGACTGGAATTACCTGAACCTATTGACACCCTGCTCTGTCCTGGAAAAGTTATCTGTTTTCCTCAAAAACTATCCTGTGGCAGGCTGCCTGTCAGAGGCTTTAGTTGCTTTGTGTTTGAAGGTGCATTTTCTCCTGATGACATGAGTTTGTGTAAGTAAACATTGCCCCTTGGGCTTGCTCAGTGACAGTGGGTTTAGTAGGTTTTGTATCTTACTGACTTGGAAGATTCGGAAGTTGGGTTTGATTTTTGGCGAGGTTTTTATGGAAAAAGGATTTGAATTTGTAATCATTTAAAAATACCCTTAAATACTTTCAAACTTGCAAGCATTGATGATAACCATAAAGGAATTTTGTGCTTTTGGCAATTACCAAAATAGGTTGATAGACTGCAGAGAGGCGTGATTCTGAGGCCTGCTTTTGTGAAGAATGTGCGAAGATGGCAGGTTTCTAGAGGGAAAACACCCTTCAGTGTGACAGTCATTTGAGGCCATAAAGCGAAACTGGTAAATAGAATATTTATTTTAGGGAATGAGGAACTAATAGTCCAGGCTTACTGAACAAAGGGAAACTTGCCCCACTGGTTAACTTTTGTTTTTTTTAAGTAGCTGAGTTCTTTTCAGTTTTGTCTGTTGCCTGTTATATTTTAGGATCTATCAGTACTTTTGAGGGTCTCGAGCTTTCTCTGGAATGGTTTTTGGTTTCATTTAGAAAGGGCATTTTGAAGTTATTCTTAAATTCATTTTTTAAAAAGTTCTCATTCTTGCAGTATAGTTTACTATGAGCAGTAAAATCACCCTTTTAAAGATGTGTGGAGTTTGAGCACCAGGTACTAATAACAAACAGAGCATGTCTCCCCTCAACCCCATCTGGGCGCCTGGCCACTGCTCTAGGTGGCTGTATACAGCCGTGGTTTTCCCTGTCGATAATGTGATAAACAAACCTTGCAGTGTGTAGCTTTGTGTCTGATTCCGCTTCCCGTAAGGTCCTGAACCTTATGTGGGTAATCTGTCTGGCTTCTACTTAGCATAATGTTTCTGATACCCTTGAGTTCATCACGACCCATTGAGTTCACTGTGCAGGTATTAACCCGTTCAGTGTCCCTTTTTATGCTGAATAGATTCTGTTGTGCTGAGAGTTTAGCTGTTTCCTTGTTGCAGTTATTTTTTGCATAGCTTTAATAGCTGCATATACTCCTGATGTCTCCTGACTTTGATTTTTGGTGTGTACTCCTAAAATGTACCCTTTCAGGACTAAAACTGGTGGCTTGAGTGCTAACACTTACTGTCGGGAGGGAGATGCAGAAACAATCCTGAAATAATTCCTAACTTGATTATTTAAAAAGGCTTCTAAATTTTTACTAGTTTTCTTAATGAGAGAAACTTAAGGACTCTCACTTTTTAAGTGAACAGCATGAGGTTCTTGCGTTGGAAATGCTGAATTGTTAATCTGGTTGTTTTATTTTGTATCCTGTTTTTTTCCTGTTAGGAATGCTAAATTGTGGCTGTGGCATTTAGTAGGCACACTTGCACACTTAACCTTATTCATGGAAAGGGCAGCTTTAAAGCTCTGCAGAGCCTTGCTTTCTTCTTCCTCTTTGGAGTTTGGTCATTAGAGAACACAAATGCAGATGGAGGAATAATCGTGTATGAATCAGTAAAATTAGCTAGGTAGTGTCACCAAGTGCAAGCAGCATTAGAAGTGGTGCATTTATATCCGATTAAGTGTTCAAAGTACTGATTAAATATTTAAATACAATATACAGTGGGAAATTCTGGGTAGGGCTGCTTTTAAGTGGGCAGTACTCTTACATTTCACATGATTAAGTACTTATTTGGCAAACTTAAGTGGCTGGTTTCCAGCCCGGGGAGAGGTGGCAGCAGCTTCATACCTAATAAGTTGAGCACATAGGTTAAGTGAAAATTGAGGCAGAAACCTAGCAGAGGGCCCTTTCTGATGGATGGTAGGTGTTTGAAAACATGAACTTCAGTTGGTGTGGTTGCAGTGTGTCTGGAAGGGTATTGAGAGTTGGGATGGTTCTCAGGGAAGGATCTGACAAAATGGAATTTGGGGTTCCTTTTGGTCCATGTGAGAGGACCAGACTGGAAAGAAAAACCTTGCTTGTGGATTGTTTTTACCTTAATTTGATAAACCCAAAGAGGGTGGTGGTCATTTTTTTCTTGACTTTTAGTACCTTTTGACTTGGTATATTTTGTAGATACTTGCAAGCTACAGAAGGGAGTGACAAGTTAATTTAGGCTGTATTGTTGATGTTTACCTGGGGAATACTTAGCCAACCCTGCATGTGTTTGTGGCTTAAAGCGTCCCCTATGTCTCCCTTGGTGACCTTTTTTTCTTATTTTAAGAATTATTATTTATGCATATAAGAGGTGGGGTACAGGCCAGAGGTACTGGGAGGGTGAGAGGATTCATCAGAGGCAGAGTGGGGAGTAGAACAAGTGGGACTGATGCTGTACACTGCCGAGACAGGAGAGGCCTGCTCAGCCTAGTGGGTCACTCCCTGGCCGGGGATCCAGCTCGCTGCTTGCACCACCTGGGGAGCCACTGGGTGACTTGTTTTAATCTGACTCTTGGCTTCTCAACAGAAAACATTAAAAAAAAAATTCTTACATAACTGTAAATGTCTTCTGCTTGGGGCTACTGTGGTGGTTACCTTATTCTGGAGACCCCATCGCATGGGGAGGGGTTGTGTACTCAGGCCTTAACTTGCTCTCCAGCAGTGCCTGTGAGGCAGTACTTGGTAACATTTGGTAGGGCTGCTTCTCAATTTGTTATTTTTTGTCTGCTTTTTAGGATTTTTCTCCTTTGCTGCTTGTTTTATGCTAAGCTCCATTTCTTTGCCCCCCACGTTTTGAAACTGCATCTGAAACATTAGTGCATCTTGAGTTCTACCACTTGTTGAGAATGTTTTTTGATCTTTCTATTACTATAAAGATGTTTCTGGTTCTCTGCATGAACAGCATTGGCTCTAAGGTGATTCTGTACATGAGTTGTACTAGTAGAAGGTCAGGGCTGAGTTTACTGCTGGATTTAGTTCACATTTTAGACTCCTTTTTACTTGTTTGCTTCTGAGACAGGTGTCGTAGCACAATACTCCACTGTGCTTTGTTTTCTCAATAAAGAAGGTTATTTGGCCCTCCCTGGTGGCACAGCCGGTTAAAACACAGCACTGCAGGCTACCAGCAGCTGCTTCAGTGTGAGTTCGATCCCTAGCCCTGGAGCGGACCCACGTGGTGCAGCAGACCTCTCCTGACCAGCCTGCTGATCCCCTCAGCAGTGTGCTTCGTCAGTCTGCCTGTTCTGCTCCCCACACTGTCTCTGGGGAATCCTTTCACCCCCCCTGCACCTCTGCCCTGTACCCCAGTTCTGTGTGCATAAATAAACCTTAAAAAAAAAAGGGGGGGGGACTTGGTGCCCACTGCGAAGGGTGCAGGATCTTGGTCTAGCTGGACTGGTAGTGACCTCACTGGTGGTCAGCTTCCTTTCTCTGTTTTTATGAGCAGTGTTTATGATGAAGGAATTCTAGAGTATTTTTTGTCTTTTTGAGTAAGCTTTGTGTTTTTTTTTCCCCTCAACTTCTTCAACAGATAATTATAAATAGAATTGCCTGTAAGAAAATACTGGTATTTTTAAGTCTCTGAGACAGTTTGATACCTCTTATAATATGTTGTGATCATTTTGAACCTCTGAACTGAAAGTGAACTGAATATACTAAAAATTTATGGGTCAACTGAAAAGAGGTTGATGAGAAACACGATTAGAGAAAGCATAGTGCAGAGACAACTGGAATTTCAGTTCCTTAGAATTTGAATTTTTAGTCCTCCCTGGTGGCACAATAGGTTAAGACACAGCACTGCAGAGCTAGCTGCAGCCACATCAGTGTGAGTTCGATCCCTAGCCCTGGAGCTTAACCACATGGCGGCAGACCTCTCCTGTCTCACCCACTGCACCCCTTAGCCGTGGACTTCATTGCTCTTCCTCTTCTGCTTCCCACTCGGCCTCTGGTGAATTCTCTCACCGCCCCTGCACCTGTGACCTATACCCCAGTTCTATATGCATAAATGAATAAATCTTTTAAAAAAATTTACATTTCTGCACTTGGTTTGTGACTTGCTGCTGAACACAATTACTGAGCTTTGAGATTTTGTTTAAAATAAATCGATTACAGTTAGAAACCTTACGCCTTAAACTTTTATTACTAAACCTGCTGTATAAATAGGATATAAATATATAGCAAGTTTAAGAATAAAAGGTTATATATAGGATATATGTCAATGGGATAATGTATATATTATAGAGTATATAAATAGGATATATTTAGATATATAAGAGAACATAAGGTAAAGTATACTATAAATTATATATGTCCTCTATATATCTCCAGTATCACTTGTAGATTATATTTCAGTTTTCAAAGAAGACAATTCTTAGCAATCACGTTTCTGTAAAAGGATACGTTCTGTAAAAGGATACTGTACATATCTTAAGGTACAAGTCTGGCTTCAGTGATGAGGACGTGGATTGACTCCGATAATCAAGACAGGGGGGTAGTGTCGTCTTAACAGTGGCATCTGGCACTCTGCACTCTGTACTCATACACGTATATGATTTGTTTCCAGGCTGGTTTCATCTTGTTGGCAGCTTGTATTTTAGGGTCACTCACTGAAGCCTCTTAAGAACCCAGAAGCTTCTTTCCTAGGAGCTACCAGTAAATGACTTCTCCAGGATCTAGGCCAGAATTGGGTCACATGCTTACTGAGAATCAGTGTCTTCAGCCAAGGGCTGAGGTTATGCAGTTTCACTTTGGACTTAAACCACTTGATCTTCCCCTGGGGAAGATGTAAATGTGGTGGCAGTTTCCCCCAGAGCTATTCAAACAAAAACTACGTTCTTTAGGACAGGGAGGAGGATAAGGGTTGGCAATTGTGGTCTTTGATTCTTCACTGGTTCCTGTCTTTTGTGTTAGATGAAGTTTGGGTAAATAATAAATAGCTGGGAATTAATGCTGATATGGATACTGCTTCATTAGTGAATACATGGGAGTTATTTCCTCAGAACAATTGGAAAGTAGATTTATTTGGGCTGTGACTCAGGTCTGTTTCTAATGAAGAATTTTAAAAATAGACCAAGCCCCCCTCCCCTGACTGATTAAGTAGTGCAGATTTAATCCTGAAGTTCAAATGTTTTAGTCACTGGTTTTCCTTGGAAGTATTACTGGTTTAATCTTGCAGTGCCCTCTTAAGGTTTGTAGCTTTCTAAGAAGAGTGAGAGTTGGTGTCTCTTTGTTGAGGAATAATTGTGCTGTGGAAGAAACTCTGCCACTTAGCCAACTTTGGGCAAGGCCCTTTGAACCTGAGTTCCAATTTGTGTCTCTGTTCTAGCTAAGGTATGTAAGGTTCTTGAGCATTAAAAAAGAATAAAGAGCAAAGTATGATTAATTTTATGTCTTAGATATGAAGGTCCTGTGTTTGATTTTCATTTCATGAATCAGTGTAGTTCCTGTGCCAACTGCTCCTGCCAGTGGTGGGTGGATCAGGCATCTGAAATGTCAAATACCATTTTCAGCCTCTCAAACTCCACCTGTTTATATAAGAAAGCACTTTTAAAAAGGTGAAATATAGGATTTCTGCTGTGACTTTGCATGAACTTTGTATGAATCCATTTGTCTCTTGAGTAAGGAAATGAATGAGTGATGAGATGTTAGATTGGCCTTTTGATGCCCTTGAGGTTTGCTTCACCTTCAAGCTGAGGGCCTTTTTCCATGGTGCCTTTGGCTTCTATAGAATAGTATTGGATACAAGACTGGTCCCACAGTTTCTGTGCTCCATGTGTCTCATGGTGAGGGTTCAGAGAGCAGTCTGTTTTAGAGCCTGCAAGAGAACATCCTTTTGTGTATAACTGGGAACTAACCTTGGGTTGCATTAATATGTAGTGTAGACAGGTCTAATACTTTCCAGTTAACGTTTGGGTTTTGTTTTTAACCAGGTAGCAATTTAAAGTGCTAAACATATGGACTATATTTTAAATGCATCAACATGAAATTTTCTGTTTAGGAAATAACTGAGGTTGGGTTAAGAGGATGGTAAAGTACCTGGATTTGGCTTTCAAGAATATGCTACTAATGGTATGAAACAAGATGATGCCCAGATAGAACAGAAGCATGTATCTGAATTGTTGGATCTGATTTGCTCTTACCTTCTAGTCTGTAAAAGTTGGTGTTTCACAATGCTTTATTTTTAGTGAAATATTTCTAGTTAAGGTTGCTTCTGATGTTGCAACTAGACATTTTGAGGTGTAGTGATTGGCCTAGTGGGTATAAATTTTAAAAGATTCACACTTCATCACATAACTGTCTTCCATTTAAACCAGTGACTAATTAGTTTTCATCGTCTTCAAATCTGAGACATTACAGTATTAGCCCCTTGCAGATCTGACTTTCGGGACTTTGTGCCCTCAATCAGCAAAACTAAAATTTTATCAAGCTCTTTTTTTCACAGGATTCTTAGGTTTTGGGGTTTTTTTGGTTGTTGTTAAACTGCTCGTGTGGTCCCTTCCTTGTGTCTGTCTCAAGCTTTGTATCTTAATGTATTTTTCCATTTGTCCAGGTGGTGGTCTGCAAGACTCAGAGATGGGTGCAGATGGGGGTGCATTTTTTAAAATGCTGTTTACCTTTAAGATAGAGTTCATGCTTGGCTTTGTTGATGATGAAATGAGAAAACTGAAGACACTGATTCATTGTCATTCTAGCAGTGGGACACTGGACAAATTCATTCCTGAGCTGTTTTTTAAAATTAGAATGTTTCCTCAAAGTTGGGATGATGCATCATGGGTTTTCAGAGGAATGTTGAATAGTCCTGTTTTTTTTGTATTTTGAAGTATTTTTAAGGGTGCATCCGTGGTTTTTTTTTTTTAAGCAATAAGTATTGAACATCTACTAAGGAGTGGGCCCATTAGAAAGTTCTCCATTGTGCTACCCTCTTGCTCTGCTGTCTTTTTAAAAAATAATGCAAATTAATTCAATGCTGGATCTTCTCTGATGTTTATTCTTTTTCTTTCTAGGACACAGCTCTTCATTGTTTATTTCACATTGTACTTTAGCTATAGCAGACAATTAAAATCAGGACCAAGAAAAATAATAGAGGAGTGATTCTCTGTGATATATAAGAATTAGTGTTTTAGTAAAAGGTCCCGTAATAAAAGAACCATCTTTTTATGTCATTAAAGACTTGTGATTTTTCCACTAGCACAGCAGTTCACCTACAAATAAATTGCTGTGAGTTAAGACCCCAAGATACTTCTTTTCAACTAGATAAAGCTGAAAGAATAGGGATCATTTTATTGAACTCTGATTCAGTACATACAAAGGGTAGTATTTGCAGTTTCTGAGAGGTTTTAAGTCAAGGTCTTTAAGAAATGGTTATGGGTTATGAAAAGCTATTAGGAAATGAAAGCAGAATGAACGTATATCCCGGGAAATGAAAACTCTTGACTTCCACTGTGCTGTTTGGTTTTACTGTTCAGTAACCAGTCAGAATTAATTTTCCCTATTTCTAAAATGTCTCCTGCTGCTTTTAGTATGTTCCAGATTCTTGGTGCTGAACTTGTCAGTAGAAATACATCTCCAGAATGACGTGGTAAAATGTAGCTGACCATGGCTTGAGTTAAAACACCTAATTCAGTCATATGTTGGATACTTGCAGTTCATGGGAATTTACTCTGAAAGACCACTATAGCTTAATGGTTCAGAATGAGAGACTGGAGCAAAATTCCAGCTTTTGTGTATATTCTGTGATTGTGGTAGAGTTACTTAGAGCTCAGACCCTGTTGTTTTTTAAAAAAGATTTATTTATTGGACCCTCCCTGGTGGTGCAGTGGGTTAGGATGCAGCACTGCAAGCTGGCCGCAGCTGCTTCAGTGCGAGTTCGATCCCCACCTGGGAAGTGATCCACATGTGGCAGACCTCTCCTGATCTGCCTGCTGCTCCCCCTCAGCAGTGTACTTTGTCATTCTGCGCCCCACTCTCTCTGGTGGATTCTCTCACCACCCCTGTACCTCTGATCTGTGCCCCAGTTCTGTATGCATAGACAAATGAATCTTAAAAAAGATTAATGTATAAAGGAGCTGGGATATAAGCTAAAGGTTTTGGAGGGTGGTTAAGAGGATTCACCAGAGACAGTGGGGAGCAGAACAGGCAGATTGAGAGAAATACACTGCTGAGGGAAGCAGCGGGTAGATGGGAGAGGTCTGCTGCACCACGTGGGTCACTTCCCTGGCCCAGGATTGAACTCTGCTTCAGTGGCTGGCCATAGCTTCTAGTGCTATGCTTTAACCCCTTGTATCACCAGGGAGGTTGCAAGCCCTCCCTGTTTTTCTAATTTGTGGTAAGGGTACAGTAATCATTTTATCTTTTTCTCAGGTGAAGCTTAGTGAGTATTAATAGACATTTAATTACTTAAAGGGGCCCCTCCTAATGCCTAGGGGATAGTCTCAGTGCTCGCACTGCTTTGGCCCGAGTTCAGTTCCCCTGGCCCGGGAGGTCACCCACATAAGGCAGTGCAGCAGAACTCTTCTTCCTCACTTATTGCTCCCTTCAGCAGTGTATTTCAGTGATTTTCACCTGTTCTGCTACTGCTACCCTCTCTGTCTCTGGTGAATCCTCCTCACCCTCCCCCCAGTGCCTCAGGGCTATGCCCCAGTTCTTCTATGCCAAAATAAGTTAATTTTTTTAAAGAACAAAGCGAAAACTCTACGACTGTGTTAACTGTGAGTTCATTAAATGTGATGTAGAACGTTCCAATCATGAATCAACTGCGATTCCTTTTAATAAATTGCTGGTAGAAAGATGTAGAGAACTTTACAATATTCATTTTGGCTAACTAGTAATGACTTTTTCTAGAAGTTAATGCAGCATGGCTCTGCTGATCATGTATGTTTTTCTTACTTTTTCCCGACAGAAAGCGTGGATACCCATCAACGAAGTTTTGATATTGGAATTCAGATTGGCTATCAGCGACGCAATAAGGATGTGTTGGCCTGGGTTAAAAAGCGCAGAAGAACTATTCGTAGAGAAGATTTGATCAGCTTCCTGTGTGGGAAAGTTCCTCCACCACGAAACTCTAGAGCTCCCCCAAGACTGACTGTAGTGTCCCCTAACCGAGCTACTTCAACGGAAACTAGCTCATCTGTAGAGACTGATTTGCAACCCTTCCGGGAAGCCATAGCTCTGCATGGTAAAGCCGTTTAAACATATTTCTTTGGAAAAATGGTTAAGAGTGTGCCTGTGGACCCATTTGCACATTTAGGTTTAGGTCCAGATAATACTGTCTGATTTTGTTTTGTTTTGTTTTGTTTTGTTTTTGTCTATTACAGTAACCACTTGCTCCTAGAAATGTGTAAATAGAATGTAAGCTTAGAACTTTAGGGTAATTTTTGAATGTTAGCTAGTCCATTCTAAAAAAATGTTTCTAGAAAGTTAGCCTGAGTTCATTGGTGTTACTACAATAACAATCTTTTGCAGCATTGACTAGAATTAATTGGTTTAAACTTACATTGTACATGTTTTTTGAGTCAAAGAGGACATTGTGTCTTGTGACTTCTGTTACGTTTATATTTGCCTTGAAGGTCTAGTCAGCGACAGGCAAGTGAGATGGTTGGGCTACTTTCATGGAAACTCCCTTTGACACTCGTTAGTGTGCCTATAGAGGGCTGGAGTTGATGGCCCAAGTGGGAGTGGACAGATGTAAGAGTAACGGGCTTTCCTTATGTCTGTTGTCCCATAGGTCCTTACTTGGATAGTCAGGACTGTCAGAGAGGGCAGGTCCATACCATTCCCTCTGGCCAAACCTGCTATAAAAACACATTCTTGGCTGGGGGGGCTGTTACTGGGAAAGCTTGGGGTATAGAGTCAATAAGCCTGCTGTTACTCTTAATACAGACTTCTAAGTATTCCTGGGTGAGATTATTCTAACTTAAAAAAATAATACCGTAACTTAAGTGATGGAATGATAAGACTTAGCCGAAACCAAGAGAACAAAACATGGGTTATACAAGTGACTGAGCTGACAGAAGTAATTAGTGAAGTTAGGTCATGGGTCCTGTTAACAGTTAACATTTCAGGGCCATAGTATAGGCCATCTCAAACAGTTACCTGGTCCTCTAAAAATAGTAATGGTCTGTGTTAAATGACATATGTCATTGAAGTGTTAGTACTTAACGGAGATTCTTGATCTTTTTGGCAAAGCCTGTTATTTTTTCTAAAAAAGCTGATCAGAGCATGAGGTGGGGAAAAGCATTGTCCTCCCTCCTGATTGTGAGTTTATGACAAATTAAAAACACACTGACAGCGAAGCCCATGATGGTATGGACGCAGCTCTGAAGACTGCTGCTGTCACTACAGTGGAGTAGTCTTTCCATCAAAACCTTGAAACTCAGGCAAAGGAAGAGGTCGAACAGTTGCTATTGAATTACAAAGTTTCACATCTTTTACCATTAAGTCTGGGGAAAGCAATTGCTAAAAATGTACAGTTTGTCAGGTTAATTTTTGTGCATGGTAGTGTCTACTGTAGTTGTCTCCTTTGGCATTATGATTTTCTTAATCAGTGGATTTATGAGTTACTCCATACTTGTTAGTGTCGTCTTTCTATATATTACACTTAAAATACTTCAGAAGATAGTTTTAAGAAACATAAAAGCCACCCCTTCCAAAATCTTAATGCACTTTATTTAATACACAACGGGCAGTGAGGCCTGCCCACTGGTCCTCCCCCTGAACCCCCCATACTATATATAGTTTCCAATTCCAATTTTCCTAAAAAATTTGTTTTGCCTGTAACTTAAATTTTGGTAGTTTTAGGAAGGGGCTATTTATAAGTTTGACTTAACATTCAAAAAACTTGTAAAATGATTTTGGAGAAGTCACCTTTCCCTTCAATAAACTTAAAATAGTGCTGATCCAGAATATATATTGGAGACTTGATGTACTTTTATTCTAGGGTTCTCACACTAGATGTGTGTAGTTTAAAGTGCTATAGTGAAATACTAATGCTCTTGAAAGGATATACATAAATTATGCTGACTTTTGTATTCCACTAGAGTTAGAGAATATCAGTGTTTTAAGGAGAGGCTAGTCTCATTTGCACGTTTAAAGTAATTTGGAATGATTTCTACTAAAAAGCTCATTGTTAGCTAAGTTGTAATGCAGTTCAGTGGCTAACTTTCTAACAGGTGTCCTTATTATCTGCCCTATTGAATCGTTTGCAATTGAAGTGAATATTATTTAGATGATCTGAAATATATTTGGAAACATCTTAGTTACAGTAGATAATTGTCAGCATTGAACTTTACATATAATTTGTTTAGCCAGATATACAATCTACGAGGAAAAAAGTGAGGTCGAATTATTCTACATGGAAAGTCTAAATTTATAACAGAGGTGGGGGTGCAGACATAGAAAATAATTGGTATATAATTTTCTTAAGCAAAAAATGTGTATGAGGTCATACTATTTCCCATAACCTCCCATGTTTTATCCTTTATAAGGATTTAATTTCTTCTTTATTTGCTCCATACTCACTTGTACCAGATGCTCCCATCTGTGCTCTTTATTTGAAGAAAAGTGGCAGAAACTGGTAGAGTATTCTTATAGTGAAGCTGTGACCGTGAGTACGGCCCCTTTTCAGTGTGTCCTTCAGCCTTGGGTTAAGTACCCAGTTTACTCAATGCTGTCACCTCATGGTTACGGAAGTTTAAAGAAGATGGGTCAGTCCTGTTATTTGCAATACAATATTGCTCATTTTTTTGTGTGTCATTGCATCTAGTCATCTGGAGTTTAGTCTCAGGATTAAATACATGTGTGCGGAGTTGGTATATGTTCTTATTTTAAAATGAGAACATTCTTGAAAATTTTCTTATTAGTCAAGTTAATCACGATTCACCTTGATTTTATAAACAGACTATTCAGGTGGTCTGGAGCATTCTGTGTTTCGATTATCCTTGCGTTAGGCATCCTTTCTCTCCTATACCTTTTCCTTATCTTGTTTTTTTGTCCCCTGTGCTTCATGGGCATCTCTGATTTTTTTTCTTCAGGTTCTTTCACTGACTTAGCCAGGATTCTAGTTCTAGCTACCACCTCCTTCCAAAATCTGTGCTTCTGGTTTAGAACCTCTCTCCTGACTGTCAAACATTTTATCCCCTGTTCTCCAGAGGGAGTATATGGTCACCAGGTGTCCCATTGGCATTTGTCTCATACAAAGTTTCAAGGTGGACTCATCTTCCGGTCCTGTCAGCATGTTTTTTCCTCATAGCCATTTAGCAGACATAGATACCACAGATTCTGGATAATCTCTGAGAAAGCATAAATGGTGTTCCCTCCCTTTTGTGTTGAGCCAGCATGTACTTACTGGATAGTTTGTTTTAATGTCATGAATGTGGTATGTGTAACATTCTGGGGGTAGAAAGGAACATTTTGCAGTGCATCCTGGTAGGGGCTTAGAAGGTTCTGGAGGAGGAGACAACAGTCTTCTGCTGTTGCCTCCCAGTCCTGATTGACCCATGAACTGTCTTTCCCTGAACCACTGAAGATCTTTTTGATCTTGTCACTTCACTAACAAAACACTATAGCCTCTAAAGGGGAAGGACTCAGCATGGCCATGCATTCTTAGGATTGGGTCCCCACCTTGGGTGGTGTAACTAAACCTTATCTTTAACCTGAATACATCTGTGCCCTCACACAAGCCTTTCCCGCTGCCTGTTCATCCTTTAAGATGAATCAAACTTCTGTTTTGTTTTGTGGTAACTGCTGCAGTTCTCAAGAGCTTTCTCTGAAGAGAACATCTGTTCTCCCACTTCCATTTGATTTCAGGGCTTTTCCTTGCAGTAGACCACGTTACAGCAGGAGCCTTGCCTCACCAGCCTCTTTCTTTAACAAAGTCTGGTGAAGATGTGCTCTGGCCTTAACAGTTGGTGTGAGGTCTGAGAGGTGGATGGAGACCGCGCAGTGAGCCTTGAGGAGGAGCTAAGGGCTGCAGCTCCCCATGACTGTAATGAGGGCGTGGCATGTGGGTGTGTGTCAGAGCTGTCCACCATCAGACCAGCTGCCATCGCAGCGGCCCTTTAGGTGTTCACCGGGCAGCACTCTGCCCAAGGACTTACCATTTAATCGTAAGCTATCCTTGGTGATTGTCTTTTCATTGACGAAGACAGGCTTACTTGGCTGAGCAGAAACAGGCTAGTAAGAGGTAGAATAGATATTCTAGATCTATCAGGCTTCAGAATTTATCTTAACCACTGTGTCTCTGTATTTGTATATTTAGCCGTATCTAGGCCTCCCCCTGTTGAGGGTGAGATGGGAAAGAGCTTTAGGTTTGTTTTTCTTACCTAAAGACATTAGAAAGTAGAAGCTGTGTGTCTTTCTGGGGCTCAGTCTCTCCCCTCCCACTATGGATTTGGGTAATCAGACCTGAAAATAAATGGATTGTGACCTGCTGTATTTCTGGCTTACTTTCAGCAGGAAGAGCTTTTAGGCTTTGCACATAGGTAGCATTCTCTGTGTATGACCTTTGTGGACGTGATTCACATTGTTTATAAGGTGATAACGTTGACTGAGAAGCTAAGCAAAGTTCTTACACTACCACAGTAACTCTGTACATTCATTTTTGCTTTGAGGATGACGGCTTCTGGTCGGTGTAGGTCCCGTGAGCGCCCTGCTTGTTTCTGGATGGCATTACTGCCCATGTGCCTGGACCTCTGCTGCTCTGTGGACCTTTGTCATTGAGAGTGGCTTTGAAGCTTCAGCTGTCACTCCACAGGGAGGGATAATTTATAATTTATTGTTCCTTCTATTAAATCTTGAGCTTGTTTCAATTTGTAAACTAGTAAATTTAGTCTTTTACTGAATGGAGATTTCCGCATTGACTTGCCCAAGTTAATGATGTGTCTGGAAAACTTAGATTGAAATCAGGTTTTATACTGAGTTATCTTTGTCGGTATGGAGAGTAGGGACAAAAGTGTCCAGAGTAAGAATGGAGTGAAACCAACCCAGATTAGAGGACACCAGTGAGTTTCACCCATTTCTAATTATTTCAAGTCTCACTCAGGTTATTTCATGCATGGTCTTTGTAGATGTCTGGCTTTGGTTCCGACTGTTGCATAAAAAGCCAGAGACACTTTTGTCATTAGTTGAAAAGTAATATTGGGACCCTCCGAGGTAGTGCAGTGGGTTAAAACGCATCAC